TACTTTAAATATTATCCCAATAAATATTTTCGAAAAATAATATGTCCAAAAAGAAAAAAAGAGATATAAATGAAAAGAAACAAAAGATAATTTCAAATTAATCAAACTTGCACTTCAGATTAAAAATAAGGAAAATAGCTAGATCAGTCAAATTTTAAAAACTGATTTTCCTTAATACCATATTAAATTTGAAAGCTTGTTTTGGATTTCAATTAGTGATTGTGTTAAACAGGTTGTAAAGCAAAATTTGAGAAGACAGATCACCTTTTCTGATTAAAAAAGCAATTTGTCCTTACACATTTTTCCTGAAATCCGGGTTAATGATTGCGATAAAAATACCAGGAAAGAAAATAAAAGTATAAAAAATATAGAAAGTAGAAAGAAAACTAAAAGAGATAAAAGAAAAGAAAATTACTTACAGAAGGCAAGTTTTGGACATGAAAAAAAATTTCTCCGGTATTTGCTATTAAAGTGATAAATATGAAAGGTTAATAATAAATAAAGTGAAAGGAAGACAATACTGATGTCTTGGACTTCAGAATAACAACCACTGTGTCATTTTTTATTTTATTTTGTTTTTAAACAAGGCAAACGATACTCAAATCTAATTTCAGATTGATATTTTTCCTGTAAAACTGTTTTTTGTATTTTGCATTTTGCATTTTAATTTACATATTTTTAAAAAATGCTTATAAATTTTTATCATCATGATTGAAGAGTTAACTTAAATTGTGTTATTATGAGGAATACTTCTTGGAGAATAACTTTGTTGTCATCTTCAAACAAAAGACTTGGAACTGAAAAAAAACTGCAAAGTCATAAAAACTGTTGAAAAGGAAAATCATGATCTTAAATTTTCTGATAATGCTACTACAGATTTTCAATTGTGTTAAAATTTTTACCATGAGAACAAATGTAAATTTTTTATAATTCATATTACTTTTATATATTGTTAAAATTACAAATTTTATTCTTTTCATTTTATTTGTGCTTCTATCATAGGGAAGATTTTGCAAATAGATAATTTTTAAAACGTTTGGATTGTATTTAAAAATTTTCGGCGAGGGGGAATGTAACATAAAAAGCTTCTAATCTTTTAATGTTATTCTTTTCTGTAAATCCTCTTTTTAATTTATTATTCTAATCGAAACTCTTTCTCACACTTTTAAATTCACATCCAGTCCTTAAATCTATTTTTGGCTCAAGTACGCATTCATTAAAAGTAAAGACATTTTCCCCCTTTGCTCTTTGTGGGAATCGCATGACCTATTTTATAAACCAATCACAATTACTAAGATTTATCTCTTTCCCTAAATTTAAACATTTTACGGATTTACTTTGCAAGATTTTCCCTAACATATAATGAAGAACACTACATTTCATGACAACTTTTATGACTGCTCTCTGCCTAATAATTAATAAATAAATTATGTACCTTCCTTCCCTGCCTAAGACCTGTTTTAATAATTCCACACGGCAACGACAATTTCATAATCTTATAAACTCATTCTGATTCAGTTTCATTTCATTACTGATAATGTTGCCCCGCTTAAAAAGAAAATCCTAATTAAATTGTGAAAATGGATAAATTTTACGCACGGCCTTTGAACTAGTTATCGTGGACTGTCTGATTCCCAGCACGTGTTCATTATACGTTATTAAACTTTCATAAAACCAAACTTTCCAAGTTTCACTTTCCAGCTGGGAATCTCCATTCTATTCCCGGTGGCCCATTGTAGGGCACTTGGGTGATTCCTGGAATTTTAAATTTTCCTATATATATTTTATCTTTTGACACTGTCACTAAACTGACACATAAAGTTAGCAGTAATAAGCTGATAAAACAACAACGTAGAATAAAATACACATCACTTTCCATGACCGATTACTTTTTGGTTATACAAAACATCCAAATTACATAGATCTACAGTACACATATTGGCTACGTATACATAAAACATTGCACACATAATTTTTCAAATATACAAAACTTAAAACAAATTTTAATGTCTAAAAAAGGCATTCATTGTTTTTACAAATCCCTTCTAAGCATTTTGAGGTCCTCTATCCTCTTGTTTCTTTCTTTTGTTTTCTTATAACTCTTGAAAGGATAACTTATGATAAGTAGGACTGTCTCTAAGAAATCGAATACAGCAACCAATGAGATTCCAAGCCACATTCCAACATAGCCACCAATATAGCTGAAAATCTCTATATTCTAAAATGTATTGTACCCCAAATTTTTAATGTTAAATTGAAATCAACATATCTAACTCAATTCATAAATAAACATTAAAAAGCATAAACAAAGCATTACTATTTCGTAAATATTACATTAGATGCATTTAGTACATATTTATATATATATAAGTACAAAATGAAAATAAAAACAAGGAAAAATTATAGACATATGAATAAAAGTTGGGGGGGGGGAAATAATAGATAAAAAAATAACAAACAAATAACAAACAACTAATTATAAAAAAAAAAGAAAAAAAGGGATGAAAAATTTAAAAAAAAACCGGGAAAAAAAGATATAATCTTTTCATCAACCCACACGATTATATCCGCAAAAAAGAGTGCAAAATTATCTATTAAATAATAATTTATTAAAAAATTTATTAAAAAATTTTTTTGTTAAAATTATCTATTAAAAATTTTTTTCTTTGATAATTTATATAATTTTTCCATGTGCAAATCCATTTCGGGCAAATCCGTGGCTATAATTATTTGTAAAATAGTCAATTTATGTTTCTCTTTTCTATTTTATATTTTTTCTTAAATAAACATCTATTTCCTAAAACTATTTATGGTCAAATTTTTTAAATTATCCAGTATAATATTACCTTTTGCGCATCCATTGGTAACTAACAAATCAATGCACAGAATAACAAATCACTTCAGCAATGCAGTAAGAACGACATTTTAAAACCCTCTAGTTACACTCAATTTGCGTTTTTGTTTTCATATTTTGTAATCTGGCAATCTTGTTGCGAAAACAGTTTTAAATCATTCTTGAAAAATTTCCCGTGCATGTAAGTACATCTGATTTCGCTACCTGCTTTATAGTGTATGTTTTATACTATTTTTTCTTTTTCTTTTATTTTATATTTTGTTTTTACGTGTTATCTTTACTTATTGTGCTCTATTTTAGTTGTTGCAATTTTGATTGTAAAATTGATACCTTATCTGAGTTGCCACTGGATAAAAACTACGGAAAATCCGCTGCAGAAATCTGTTCAAACTGCATCACTTACCATAATACCTGTAGTACGTATTCATCTGCGTAGCGTCATCTACTTAAGGCGTATTTCTACAGTCTCCCCCTCCGCTAACGAATAAGTACTTTTTCCCTATTGAGTTTGCTTATTTTTTTTATCATAATAAACACATGTTATCAAAATTAATTAATCATTGGTGTCAAAGATAATATGGCCATTTCTTACGTTTCCATAAAACGAGTAAGTATCTTTTTTAATTAACTATTTTAGCTTTATATTAATTGCGTCGGTTTATGTCATGCATGATTTCGTACTGTTTTTCAGTATTGATTCATCGATTATTTTCTATTCTTTAAGCATCTCGTACGAAGAACGGGTATTCAGCTGGCTTTATACAAATTTTCTTTTTATTTCGCGTATAAATCGTTTAGAACATAAAAAAAAACCTAAGTCACAACCATTAAATAAGGACATTAAAAATAATGGTTTTGATGTAAATTTACATAATATATCATTCGCATTCATCTCGAGATTTTTTTTCTCTCTATATTGCCTATCGATCAGTAAAGTTATGAATCATGAGTTTTTTTGTGCGAATCAACTGACTTGTACATTTCAATATTGCAGTCAAATTTACTTGAATTTAAGCTCATGATTCATAACTTTACTGATCGATAGGCAAAATACAAGTAAATTTGACTGCAATATTGAAATGTAAAAGTCAGTTGATTCACACAAAAAAAATTTAGCACCGTTACAATGATATATTATGTAAGAACAAAACACAGATTAAATAGAAAGATTAAGTTCAATTTAATATACATGCGTAAAGTATAAAAGAAGATTTCATTCGAAATATAGAAATCAATTCACCCATTTAGCATAATAAAAATATTAAGTCAATATGCACATTGAAAAACTGTGGGATTTGTTTGAAAATTGTTTCGCTCGGCAGTACTTTTATCACTGTATATTTTCTATGAAGTAAAATCTAAAACACTTCTAAAAAGCAAGCGACACTTTTAAAACCTAATATAACTCTAAATCTCATTTTTTACTGAATTGACATGCGGCATTGACGTGCAAATCGCTGGAGTACAAATCGCTGGACGTGCAAATCGCTCTTACAAATATTAATGGTATTTAGAAGAAGTGAGGCAAATCATAGGGATTGAGAATTGCATAGAAAAAAATTTCCTGAAATGAAATCGCACGCAGCTTGAGGTGATTGCTTACTTAGATGTTTCTGTTGAACGTTTTTGAATTGGGGTATTTATTTACCTAAATTATATGGGAGTCATATTTCCTAACAATCGTTCTCAAAAATTGCATTCAAATCCTCTAAGAAATAGCTGTTTTTATCGTAATTTATTAGTTTTGGCATCAGCCTGTTTAATATCAAGAAAGAACAAATTTATTGTAACGTAATAATTGTAAGATGTCCCCTTCCCCTTAAATTAAGATAACACGAAAATTAAAATATTTATTTTTACCTGAAATTTAGGTTTTTATGTAAATGCTGATGTTTACATTCCATTCATGTCTACTTCTACATCAATAGGTACATTTTATTACCTAGATTTCTAAGTTTAATGTTTTATATTACTTGTTTTCAGAAATTTCATTGAAATAATCTAAGATATAGTTTCTTTTTTCTTAATTTATTAATTCAGGAGGTAAACTGTTTATCAAGAAAGAATAATTTTATTGCGAGGTAATTAAATGCAAGATGGCGTCCTAAAATTAAACTAGCATGAAAAGTATAATATTTATTTTTACCTGAAATTTAGGGCTATATGTATAAGTCGTTGTTTCCATTCCATTCATGTTTACTACTACATCAATGAACTGGCTAAAATAAAAATATCCATTACTGTATATTTCACGAAAAAGAACTTATTTTTATTCACTGAAAGTGAATTATTTTAAGATACTAATGAATTTAGTTAGATTTTCAATCTCTTAAGGCGATTCTAATAATGTAGATACTTTTATTATTTTGTATTTTTTTAACATATTTTTTTGCGACTATCGAGACTATCGACTATTTAAACTATCGAGAGCAAATTTTAAAGCTAAAAAGGAAAAGTGCTTCTTCAGAGAAAATACGTTATACTATTATCATTCAAAAGCTTATTTATGTTTTGCCAATTGCATTTCAAAGTGCATTTCAGAGAGTAAAGATTAGATACAGTGACCTCTCACTTATACACCACTTCTTTTATGCACCTTCTTCATTTATACGACGATTTTTGCAGGTCCCAGTACATAAGGTATGAAAATAATGGTAAACATCCTTCGTTTATGCGTCGCTCTAAAAATAAATTTTTCAATCATGCGCCGAAATTCTAGGCTAGCATTTTAATTTTTTTATCCTTTAAATATTTTTTTTTCTTTTTCTAAAAAAAAATGTTTTAAATTGAAAATGAAGCAAATAAGCAATCCTTGTTTCTGATAAAAAGAAATATATCTTGTTATATCCCATTGAATTTTCTTCCCCCTCTGACCTTATCATTATTGTTGTTTCTGGAAGGACATTCTTTCTAGAATTTTGAATAGTGAGTCTTAAATCTGTTGCACCAACAATAATGAAAGCCCATTCATCTTTAAGAAAATTACTATTCCTCTTGTCCAGAGGTTAGTTTTACTCCCATACTGTTTTCTAGAAAAAGAAGACACCTGGAATACGAAAGATGAAAGAGACCGCAATCACTTACTTGCAGTCAGATGGACATCATGAGTAAATAAGAGGAAGTTTAACTTATTGTGCAGCATATTATGACGTCAAGTACTTTTCTTAGAAATTTATCATGTGATGTTTCACCCCCTCCTATAAAACTCAAATTTTTTGTGAAGAACTGTTCATTTATATCTAACTAGAACTTGTGGACGACGAGAACGAGGTGGATGATACTGACGAGGATGATAAAGTTCCTCCAAATCACACAGCAGTATTAGAAGCTTTAGACACTATTCGTGACTATTTACAATTCAATTTTGCTTCAGAAACTCCCCCTTATCACATTTATATGAACTGAAAAAACTGTTTTTTAAATACGTCGACAGAAACAAATACAAACATGTATTAAGATTATTTTGTAAGAAAATAACTTGTCTTAAGCTATGTTAATTTTTTTCCTTGTATAATTATAGTAATTACCAAAACAGTATAAATATTAACATTTTATCTTTAGAAACATATTTATTCATATTGTCACTGCAATTTACGTAGAGTTTTAGAATTTTGAAGTTTTTCACTTATGCGCCTCTTTCACTTATGCGCTTTTTTCTCTTGGCCACTTACACCGGTGCATAAGTGAGAGTTCACTGTAATTAGATTGCTTTTAAGAATTGAAAACTGTTAAGGTGTATAGATTTTTCTGCCCTCTCTCTTTCAAAGCTTTTAGGATATATAGATTTTTTTTGTAGCCTGGTTTTGGTTTTAGTCAGTTGTGTAATAAGTAGACAGTTGTGTAATAGCTTTGGGATTTGTTTTCAAGTAAGTTTTTGTACATTATATTCTTATGTATCAGTTTAGATTTCATAATTTTGTATTTGTTTTTTTTTTTTTTGTATTGTATTTTCTTTTCCTGGACTTTGGCGAAACCTTTGAGGTGCAGGGAGTGCAACTTAGACATTGACAACTTAGACAGTTTAGATTTCATAATTCTGTATTTGTTTTTTTTTTTTTTTTTTTTTTTTTTTTTTTTTTTTTTTTTTTTTTTTTTTTTTTNTTTTTTTTTTGTATTGTATTTTCTCTTCATGGACTTTGGCGTAACCTTTGAGGTGCATTGAGAACAATTGTCGAGCTCTTTTATAGAAACAGTTCTGCATTTATGACTTCCGGGGCTGGTACCCCCGACTGCGTCTGCTTCGGTTGTCATAGTTTTCATTGTTTTCATATTTCATTGCTTTTCTTTCTTTATTCTTTTGGTTTTAATTTCCTTTTGGAATTTTTGCAGTATTGCGCGTTTTTGCACAGAAAGTGTTGTTTCTAATTGCTTTAATTATTTTGATTCCTTTTCTTACTAGGAGAATTCAGTTAATTCCGTTTAGTTTGCAAGTCTCTGCTGTGTAATTGACCACAATTTTAAGCCATTAAGCACGATATCGGACAAATTTAGAATCAATATAAAAAAGTAACTACAACTTCTAAGGACTATAGTATAATATGATCTAGTTTAAAATGTTCAATTTGCACGAAAAAGGTTTCTATTGACACTGATAAAATAATTGCATGAATATTATATGGATCGTTTAAAATTTTCGTCGATATATTGGTATCGATATATTGGATCGTTTAAAATTTTCTAACAATGTATAGTTCTCGAAATTACGATTGAAATTTAATTTGCAATATTATTCAAATTTATTCTGGAATTAAATTCTGCACCCTTTGCCTTTAAACACATGAAAATTTAATAAAATACTTACTAGCGCATTGGTAGGGGGAAGCAGATAGGCTGTAAAGAAGGAAAAATTTAATTTGAATGTATATAATAAAACTGAAATCGTAGATTTTCAAAATAAAATATTGTACCTGCTATCTAGAAGTTCCCAGTTTTTAAGATACTTTGAAATTTAATAAAACATGTCAACTGAGGTAGCGTTAAATTATGAAATATACCACTTCCGCTGACATGACTGTCTGACGTTCTAATCCTGAAGACTAGATTTTTTTTCAATATACATAGCCATCCTTACCAAAATTGACAATATAAAATATCGTATAAGATCGAGTTTAGTGACATTATATACGCTGAGCTTAAACATTCTGACATTTTTCTATGAACTCGTCTAGATGGTAGATAGAGGGCATGCATTCAAAGTGGAATGGTATTTAACTGCTGCTGGAGAAGGGATAATTTTTGCAATTACTTTTGTGAGAGATGGGGATGGCTAGTGATTTAAAAGAATTTGATAGTGGGCAGATTGTAATGACAAGATGTATCTGCTAGTATTTTCGAAACTGCATGACTGGTAGACTGTCCCTGATCTGCCGTTGTGAAAATTAAGGTGAAGGGGATAAATGATTGTATACGCAACTTGCAGTATACGCAAAAGGCGTAAGACATCCACATTCCATCTAAGACGCCGGAGACTGTCCCGTTTGGAAAAACAAAATCAGCTGTAGACAGTGGCTTAGCCCTGTTCAATGCATTTATAAGTACTAGCCTTTCGGAACACACAGTTAAACGGATGTTAGATATGGGACTATGCATTTGACGTTTCACTTGTGTGCCATTCTTGACCAAGCGCCATCCTCAAGTACACCTACAGTGGACTCAGGAACATTTACTTTCAGTGGACCATAAATTAGTGGATGACAGTTGTCTAGACAGATTAATCAACGCATTTTCATTCATCGTATTGATGATTGTGTTAGTATGCCATCTTCAAGGTCAAAAATTGCTTCCCACCTATATAGTGTGCAACATAAAAAACGGATCACCCGGAACTACTCTTGATCTAATGATCGGATCTTCACGTTTTAGGATTCAATCTTAATGCTTTAAGGGGATGACAGCAATAATGCTAATTGTTATTGACGTATTTGTGTTTAGGCAGAGGGGTGCAATTGCTTTTGTTTTCCAGTTCTTGTTTTCCAGTGTTCCTCTCCCAGCGTAATTACCTAACCAAACTTTCACTTGTTTCTCTCTCATCAGAGTAACATTGTGTGGAATAACATTAAGTTTAGAGTGGGATGTAAATCCGCACCTTGTTAATTTTTTTGTTGTTGTTGCAAAAACCCAAGGGGTTATGTATATACATATACTGATACCAACATATATACTGATGTACGGATGTGTGTAGGAATATGCATAGTAGAATAGTATTCATAATTATGTTCATACAAACTTACGTGGAGTTTTTCTTCACGCTTGTCAATTATCTCTCTTGTAACTTCATAACTTTCCTCACTAAAAACAAAAACCGATAATATTAGATGGTAATATACTTATGGAATATTCTTTCTTCACCGCCAAAATGGCCTCATTACTACTCATTACTACTTAAGTAACAGAGAGAGATTTTGCACAGGGATATGTTTCCTAACTCAAACTCCAGCTCTGTGGTACGTAACTCAAACGTTAACGCTATTTGCTTTTTACAGCTCATGAGGGAAAATTTCTTACAAAACACAATTTCCCTATAATTCAGAAAATAACTTGAGCGTAACGGTTAACATTAGATAAATGCTATAGGAAAATGCTCTGTAATTTATCATTTCAAGGTATAATACATTTTAAAACGTTTGTGAAGGATTTATGTAAATGACAGACAATGTATGCGAAAAGTCAATTCTAAAATACGCAAACTATTTTCTTTAATTTACATTCGCATACATTTTTCGTTTTTGCATTATTACCATTCACCCAGATGTCCTTAAATTGAGACTAACAATAATATGCAGACAGGTACTGGTTGAAGTAAGAAGAAATGAATTTTTTTTTAAAGGAACACTTTAAAATTCAAATAAAGTTTGTAAATGCATTGAATCAAATAACGCTTCTTTCATGATTAGTAGGATTTTATATTTTGACGCTGTTAGAAAGTAACTTCGCATATCAATTTAGTAACTTGTTAATACTACGAATAATTTTTGTAGAAAATATTATTACAATTTTTATTATTTTATAAATTAATAATAAATGTAACAAAAAAAATAATGTTGCAATTTTTATCGCAATTTATATTAATTTGTGTATGCGTTACACTTTTAATAATTGTGTACTCTATTAACAGATAATAATATTAAACAACACTAAAAATATTTTGTGTTAGTCGATTACAAGTAATACTTCATCAAAGCACATCGGAAAATCAAATTCTTTACTTACAAGCATGCAGGAAAACAATGCTTCTTTTCACAATCTGTAATTTTATTTTCCGGAACTTTCACATGTAATTCTGTAAAAGTTAGGTATTGCATGTTAATGTAAAAACAAAAAGTTTCATTTGCTGTGTCATTTTAGTTCTATTTATTCTTTAGAGAAACAATAAACCTAAATAAAATTCAATAATTCAACCATTTAAAGAAAACCATTAAGCCTCCATTCACCAAAAAATTACTCCTCTTATCTATATATGATATTATATGATAAGTATTAGTCCTTGAACTATGGATAATATTTTGGACTAAATATATTTTGAAAAGATTAAAATATTTAAAATCTCTGACATGCGTTTTTGAAAAAACAAATCTGATATTTGAATACTGCAAATCCTTTTTATTGTTATTGTTTTTAATAACACTTAGATAAGCCAAGCTCGCCAGCCATCGGACCAAGTATGAAAGGTGAACCTAACGTTTAACAAGAGAGCACCACAAGGGTGAGAGTACGCCTCAGCTCAGAATCTCACGGATAGATGGCAGCACCATTCATTCGTGAGGACACTTCCTCAATTCATAGATCTCTGAAGAGAAAGATAATTTTCCCTGAACTCATGGTACTGCTCGGTGATCGATCACAGGACTTTTGATTCCCCAGATTTTACGAACACGTAGATCGCATGTAGTCGGTGGGACTTAGCGCCGTCGGGGAGGCCACAGCGGTACTCCGAACCTGAAAATCAAAACCTATTGGATTCCTTAATGAAATAATTTTATCCAATCATCTAAATCTCCGACATTCTACCCGGTTCTGAAATTTTCAATCCCGCTTTGTCAGTAGTGAGTTGTTAACATTTGATAGCGATTTGGTTTTCATCCTAGCTTTTGTTACCTACGATTTGTACGTTAATTACTTCATTTTATATTTTTTAAAAAAAAATATTAAGATTAACCACCAAAAAACTCATTTATTTTCCTGATCTGACTGCATATTAGAAAGGTCCCGGGTTTGAATCATGGTCAGAGGCCATGGATGTTCTTTCCTTCTTCTCTGCATTGTTTGTCATCCTTATTATAGGGCAGGGCTGTCCAACTGCAAAGAGCCCACGGGCCAGAATTCCGGTCACTGATCACCTGGCGGACTGCAGTTTGAAAAAGTTGAACAATACCCTCTTACCTCTTATACAATAACAATTAGTAGTTGAATTATTAATTATAAAACAATGGAACAGAAGGATTATAAAACATTTTGCTTGCATTTTAATGGGAAAACTGAGGCCGATCAGACTGAATAAGAAGTTGGCGGGCCACGCAATATGTGTTGGTGGGCCACATGCGGCCCGCGGTCCGCCAGTTGGACAGCCCTGTTATCGGGGTAACGTTGACACACCAATGTATGGCAGTACTTTTACTTTCGTTACTTGTACCGCCGGTACAAGTAAAAAGTACGTACTTTTACTTGTACTTCGTTTCTTTTTAAATTTAGTACGGAAATATCGAATGAAATCTTTACATTTTTCTTAAACTCGGTAAGCTTTCTAAAAATAAAATAAAAAATAATTAAAAGAAGTTTTCTGCTGGTCTGGTACCTTGCATCAAATTTAATTGGTTGGAAGAAAAAGCGAAAAAGCTAGGGAGGAGGCTACAAAAGAATTGGAAAGAATTGTCCAAGCTGAACATTCTGCTATAACTAATAACGTAACAGAAAAAAAAAACAGGGATTTTAAATTTTCTAAGGCTGAAAACATCATACCAATCACCAGCGACAGAAGAATTTATGGCATGCTCAAATGTCGAAACGGAAAGCATATCAATTTTGAATCGATATCCAATCGTAAAAAAATTATATGTGAAATATAATACTGCAGTACCTTCTAGTGCTCCCGTGGAGCGCTTATTCAGCTTGGATAAGCACGTTCTGACAAATTCTAGCAGCAGACTCAGTGACACCACTTTCGAAATGCAATTATTTCGCAAATTGAATAAAAATATTAATTAGCAAGCTATTTTCATTCATTTTCGAGTTTTATGCATTTATTTAATACATTTATTTAATACATTTTAAATAAAAAAATGTTGGATTTTGTTATTACGTTTTTCAATTTTCATTTTGAACTCACTAATAATACATTTTTGTCTTAATACATTTTTTACTCAATACATTTTTACCAAGTACATGTTTTACTAAAATTATGTTTATGCCCGACCTTATCAAAAAACGCCCAGTCAAATCTCTAAGAACTTCAGAACTATTTGTGCTATTGAAAACTAAATTACTATTTTAATTCTTGAAAACTAGAAGGTATTAATTTAGCCGCTGATACTAAAATTCGTTTACAAATTTTAATTATTCCGTTAGGCAGAAATGTTCGGAAAATGATTTTCTCGCATGACTTCAGCATTAGCCATTGTTACAAATAAAACTGTAGACTGTTCTGTTTCAACTTATACTGCACATTCAATTATTTTTTGCTAGCTCAAAGGCCACAAAGCTATCTGAAACCCCGTGTTTGCTTTGTTTATGTTTGGGCTTTTAAAACGCGTTTCTATAGAGTAAAAATTTTTTAAATCATTGGTAATTTAAATAAATAAAAATAATAAACTAAATATTAAAATCAATAGACAAAATTTCTTTTTCGTGCAAATCCATAAAAAGTTTGATATTAAAATTACATTTGATTTTAAAATTATATTATACGATTATATTATAAAATTATATTATAATATTCTTCCGAATTTAAAAATAAATTAATGTCCGTAACTTTCAAAATTAAAAATAATAAAATGAATAACAACAATTTTGCCAAAACATTAAGGAACATAGGAATATTATTCAATAAAATTTTAGGTTACTTTGAATTTTCTATTTCCTGGAAATGTACTTTTAAATCGTTACTTTTTTTGTATAGTACTTGTACTTTTGCTTGTACTTTTTACTCGTTACTTTTTAAAATAAGAACTTTTTACTTGTTACCTTTTTTAAAAATACTTGTACTTTTACTCGTTACCTTTTTTAAAAATACGTGTACTTTTACTCGTTACTTTTTAAAAGGAACGTTGCCATATATGGACACACCTAATGTGTGGTCAACAATTGCTACCCGAATATCGAATGTCAATATATGGCAGGGTACTGGAAAAAAAATCTGAGTATCAACTATTTCTAGGTTTTTGCCCCTCTGTTACGCATTATTTCTATGATTATATATTGTGCGTTAAAAATCAATAATTGGTTTTGTCTTCTAGTATAGAAATAAAGGATTTTTAGACAATTTCAATTATTGTTTTTTTTCTTTCTAAAACATGTGAATCAAAGTATTAAAAACCTTCTTTCTTTGTTTTTCAGCTCCATTCTTTTGAAAAATTTTATCACAAAAGCTTTAATGTTTACTCCAACGATATGACTTAAAACAAATGCCAAATACGCGCCGAACTAGATGCGATTCGTTTGAGAATTGCTTATTTGCATAAGGATCGAACAGGAAAAAAATGGCAAATTGAAATTTCGCTCATTAATGGCTGACTCGGAAAGCATTACATGTAAACTACTAAGTTCTCGAAAATGGTGAAATAGAAGAAGAAATAGTATTTTTTTTTTAGAAAATAAAATGTTATTAATTTTTTTTAAATTCAATAAAATAACAATGAACACACAAATATTCATTAAAAAATTTATAGTCAATCCTTAGAAGATAACAGAATAACAATTGTTTAAAAGTTCACTTTACCTTTATCACCGCAGATTTTTTCATTTCCTACAATTTTGTAGTAATTTGCGAAGCAACCACGATACTTCAAACTGATGTTCTTTTGGCATTCCTCAAAGCATTCCTAAACGTTAAAGAAAATTAATTCTTCAGTTTTGTTATACAATGCTCGTCCAATCAGTGATCAGTGACTGAACCATTGCTTTAGAAAATTTAAAAATATGAACAACTTACTTTGATAAATCAGCTGCAGCAAAAGGCTTTAAGTGCTTTAGGGTTAACTTTTTCAGCATTCAAGCCGTGATACTGTGTGTGATCGGCCACAACCTTCATTTCATTTATTTTGCCTCAAGAGCCTAGCACCCTTCATTTTAACTTCCAATCTTAAGTTTTTTATTTATTTTATTTTATTTTATTTTATTTTATTTCCTTTCTTTTTATTTAATTTCCTTTCATTTTATTTTATTTCCTTTCTTTTTATTTAATTTCCTTTCATTTTATTTTACTTCCTTTCATTTCCTTTTATTTTATTTTATTTTATTTTATTTTATTACGGGCGTTGAATGGCTGACCCAATTCTAAATTTATGACTATCAATTTTCAGCAGTCGACCGGCATGTGTAGGGGGCAGGGAACTGTCCTTGCATCAGAAAGGTTCTGGGTTCGAATCCCGGGCCAGGCATGGTTGTCCTTTTCTTCTCTGTACTATCTGTCCTCACTATGGGAGCGACGTTGGCCCACTTAATATGGTGCCCCCGCAAGAGAGGCCAACAAAATCACCATGTATATGCCTGAATTGACGGATGTTATCACAGGTGGGCATTGGAAATGTTTTTTCTCAACATCATAGCTTTGTGACTGAACCCAACCCACAGGACAAAGAAACGCTTGAATCAAGCATAAGGAAAACTAGCTTTCGTGGGCAACTTTTCGATGGAACTAACCGATATTTGCGTTACACGGAGGGGAAGCCATTAAAATCTTCCTCGGCCAATTTGATGGAAAGGAGATTCCAACCCATGATCGATCTACAACTGACGATATTTTACGTCAGAACTGTGGTCGGCGCTGGTCGGGCACATAGTTCACATCAACCAGCCACAGCTGGGCTTTGAAATAGGGTTATGAACGCTCTGTACCATGAGCCATTATAGCTCAACAGTTAGCTTTGTTGATTCCCAGCCTCGGATGTAGGCAAAATTTTTCGAAATAATGAATAAAGATGTGACTTTCTTTCACCATATTATGTTACATAAAGTTTTAAATTGTTAAACTTTTGTTCCTTTTAGCCACACTTTTTAAACACCCGCGTTGATGCCATGACCATAAATTTGCTTGTATTCTTGAATTTTGTATTTATGCATCTAAGTCAGAGCATAAGAGAACGATGATTGGGCTTCAAGGGCTATCCAGGATGCTCGTAATTAAATAGAAAGATTGTCAGTCACACTAGAACTGTTGAACAATCTCTCTTGAAGAATATAAGCGACTAGTTTTGATGAGTAATTTTCTACATGCTGAATGAAATAATAAATGTACTACGAAGCTAAAGATTACTAGTATATTACTTTCCGTCCACCATATTACATTGCCATGGTCAGTATACGCCCATGGTATATGCCAAAGATTAGCAACTAGAGGACTACGGCTTAAGTCTGGACAACCGCCCGGCAAGCAGCCGTCCCGCCTCGAACCTCTTTGACTTGAAAAGAGGTCTTACCTTTGTCATTTATAAAGAAACGGTTCCAAACTAAACTCATTGAATTCAATGAATTTGGCACAGCAGTGGACTGATCATTAAGACATGGTTCCCAGACGAACATCGCAGTGAAACACCATTGGCTACGGTCAGTGTGCTGGTAGGTGATCCCTTAAATCAGTCTTCGAAGGGACTGAAAGTGTGCTGTATTGTTCCTCGCTCAACTGTTCTACCGTATAGAGCTCGACTTCCAATGAAGGTCTTCGAGCTATCGAAGTAGGGGTGCAGCACCCCCTCTGCAGAGGATCAAAATTGTGGTGGCATGCCTCCAAATGATCCTCAGAGATTTTTTCAGTCCGTCGCCAATAGCTCATTATGGAGTTCCAGTGCGACGTAAATAAACTGTAATTACAATCAATAGAGCCGTGGTGAATCAAGGGAAAGAGCGCTCGCCATCCAATAAGTAGAACCAGGTTCGAATCCCAGTGATGGGTGGTTGATACGAATTTTGCACTCGGCTCGTACCGACCACAGTGCTGACATTGAACATTAGTAGTCATAAACTCAAAATTATATATATATATATATATAAAAC